CTTGGAGCAGCCTGGGCTGCTGGGAGGTGTCCCTGCCCATGCAGGGGGTTGGGACTGGATGATCTTGAAGGTCCCTTCCCACCCAAACCATTGTATGATTCTATAACTCTATGATTTACCTGCTCCAGGCTCCCTTTTAGCTGCTAAATTGAAATCATTTACAGAACGAGATGAGAGCAAGAAATTGTGTTTTGCTTTGGTTTGTTTTTTTGTTTGGTTGGGGTTTTGTTTGTTGGGTTTTTTTTAAATTAAAATGATGAAGAATAAACCTAGTAAAAGCCTTTGGCAGACTTTATCTTTGCAAAGGGTTGTCCCTGCCACTCTTTGGGGTAGGGGCTGTGGAGGGGGGGGTTTGTATCACACCTCATTTCCAGCCAGAGCAGGTTTGAGGTGGTTGTTGGTGGCTGGAAAATCTCAGTGTGTGATTAGTAAAAACCTAGATCCTGTTCAGCAAAATCTCCTTGGAGATCAACCCATTCCTGGATGGAATTTCTCCTCCCCATTGCACCTCTGGGCTGCTGTGGGTGAGATTCCTGTCTTGACATCAGAGAGGGCAAGAGAAGGTACAGGGGTTGGAAAGGGCTTTGGGGTAAAATGTGGGCACCCCAGTGTGGGTGCTAAAGGAGGCTGGTAACATGGTCACTGGCCAGACCCATCTAGGTTGGTCTTGTTTCCAGGGAACTGGCTTGGACACATTTCATTTGGAAATGTGATTTAATAGGTAAAGGTTTGGGGTTGGATTTGCAGCTCTGCTTCAGGCTCCTGCCTGTGCTTGTCTTCTCCAGAGCTCTGCTGGGAGGTGCCATCTCAGAGGGAGCTCTGAAAAATCCCAAGTGTTTCAGGTTGGGCACCTCAAATTGGTTCTGTGTCATTGCTGGAGACACTAAACAGAACTTGCCCCAGTACCAACCCTTGAGAGACACCCCTGGTTACTGGTTTCCACTTGGACATTGAGCTGTTGACTGTAACTCTGGCCATGACCATCCAGCCAGTTCCTTATCCAGCTCAGGAGTCTTGCTAGTGGTGAACCCTTCACGTGGAAAGAAGAGGAGGTGATGAGACAAAATTCAGCACAGACTTTCCCCCCCCTTCCCCACCAGCCTTTGTGTTACTCTAGCAAAATTTATCAGTGCAGTTCAGGGCACTTCTGTGTTGCAGGATCACTAAAGTTGAGGTTTCCAGAGTGGCACGAGGGATTTCATCAGCAATTTTAATAGAAGCTGGAGCTTAAAGGCTCAGTGCTGCTTTTAAAATCCCAGCTGGCTGCTGAGCTGCCAAGTGGCAGAAACTCAGGCTGTGCCAACCTTCTAATTCTGATAAGGTGTTAGATGCTCCTAACTAGGCTTTGACATGAGCTGTCAAACACTCTTTTCCTCCAGGAGGATCCATCACCTCATGTCATTAAAACTTGGACCACGAGTCGTTTTCTTATCTGCCCATTGTTCTATTTTTTCCCCCCAATTTGCAGCCAGGGGAGGTGACATCTGCCTGGACTGAAATGTTTCATGACTTTTTAAATTAATATCCTTGCTAACTTGTCCAGGATGCAGCAGCTGGGGAGGCAAAGCCTGTGGGAGCATTCAGGGTGCTGGAACCACACAGCCTGGGGCTGCTCCACATCTTCACTGAGTAAACCACTGGTTGGATGGTCAGACCCAGAGGGTTGGGGTAACTGGGGTCAGGTCTAGTTGGGGCTGGTCAGCAGAGCTCAGGGCTCAGGGTTGGGGCCAGGCTTGTTCATTGGCTTTGTCAATGATCTGGATGAGGAGATTTGAGTGCAGCCTCACTAAGTCTGCAGATGACACCCAAGTTGGGTGGGAGTGTTGATCTGTTGGAGGTCAGGGAGGCTCTGCAGAGGGACCTGGACAGGCTGGACCCAGGGGTTGAGGCTCTGCAGAGGGACCTGGACAGGCTGGATCCAGGGGTTGAGGCTCTGCAGAGGGACCTGGACAGGCTGGATCCATGGGCCAAGGCCAATGGGATGAGGTTCAATGAGGCCAAGTGTCAGGTCCTGCACTTTGGCCACAACAACCCCCAGCAGAGCTACAGGCTTGGGGAGGAGTGGCTGGAAAGTACCCAGCAGAGAGGGACCTGGGGGTGCTGGTTGATGGAGAGCTGAACAGGAGCCAGTGTGTGGGCAAGAAGGCCAACACCATCCTGGCCTGCATCAGGAATAGTGTGACCAGCAGGACCAGGGAGGTGATCCTGCCCCTTTCCTCAGCCTTGGTGAGGCTGCAGGGCTGTTCAGCCTGGAGAAGGGGAGGCTGAGGGGAGACCTCATTGCTCTCTGCAGCTACCTGGAAGGAGGTTGTTGTGAGGTGGGTGTTGGGCTCTTCTGCCTAGGAAATAATGACAGGACCAGAGGAAATGGCCTGAAGTTGCAGCAGGGGAGGTTCAGATTGGATATGAGGAAGAATCTCTGTACTGAAAGAGTGATCAGGCCCTGGAACAGCTGCACTGGGAGGTGGGGGAGTCACCATCCTTGGAGGTGTTCAAGAAACATGTAGATGTGGTGCTGAGGGACATGCTCTAGTGGCTGAGGTGTGGGGGTGAGGGGTTGTGGGTGTTTTCTGATGGACTGTGTGTGGTTCTTGGTGTTTGGTTTTTTGTTGTGTTGATGGTTGGACTCGCTGATCTCAGAGGTCCTTTCCAACCATGACAATTCTGTGATGTCTGTGGTCTCCAGACACCCATCAGAAGTGCAGTGTGATGCTCAGACCTGGCAGCCTCCAAGGGCTTTGTTTGACAAAAATGAATCCTATAATCATAGAATGTGGGGGGTTCAAAGGAACCTCTGGAGATCATTGAGTCCAACCCCCCTGCCAGAGCAGGATCCCCTGGGGCAGCTCACACAGGAACACATCCAGATGGGTCTTGAGAGTCTCCAGAGAAGGAGACTCCACACCCTCCCTGGGCAGCCTGTCCCAGGGCTCTGTCACCCTCACAGCAAAGAAGTTTCTCCTCATGTTGAGGTGGAACTTCCTGTGTTGTCACTTGGTGCAGTTTCCCCTCATCCTGTCACAGGCACCACTGATCAGAGACTGGCCCATTCCTGACACCCACCCTGCAGGTATTTATAGACATTAATCAGGTCCCCTCTAGTCTTCTCTTCTCCAGACTAACCAGCCCCAGGTCTCTCAGCCTTTCCCCATCAGACAGGTGTTCCAGTCCCTTCATCACCCTTGTAGCCTCCACTGGACTCCTTTCAGCATCTCCCTGTCCCTCTTGAACTGGGGAGCCCAGAACTGGACACAACACCCCAGATGTGGCCTCACCAGAGCAGAAGGGGAGGAGAACCTCCCTGGACCTGCTGGCCACACTGTTCTTAATGCATCTCAAGACACTATTGGCTCTCTTGGCCACGAGGGCACGTTGCTGTCCCATGGATCACTTCTTGTCCACCAGGACTCCATGGAGTTCAGAAGAGTAAAAAAAACCAAACCCATAAGAGTGAAAAACAGGTCTGATTGCTTTGTAAGTGGGTTGGGTTTCTGGAGGACCCCATGATGGAGAAGTCTCCCCTTCTGCTATGATGAACACAGATGTTTTGAACCTGCATTTCCTCTCACTGCTTCCATCTCTCATTTAAATTGGTTCATCTCCTGGTAACGTGAGTCAGAGAAGGAGTCACAGTTATTCTGCTGGTTAATTAGCACATTTTTTCCCAATCTTCAGTGATCTGGAGGTGCTGAGATGCTGGTCTGGAGTTCCTCAAAAGCTTCTTGTTGTCTCTGCACTCTTTCAGTGGCAGTGGGTGTGGGATGTCAGCAGACTTGAAATCTTGGCCTTCATTAATTGCTGCCTTGAAGACTGAGTAAACAAGTTCATTATATTGGAGTGTTTAGATGTCTTCTAGCTGGGCTTGACTTCTCCTCTCCATCCTCCACAGTCTTCAGGGCTTGTTTCCTCCAGGGATGAGTTCTCCCAGCCCTCCTGTGAGAGCTGGCCACCATTTCTCACCAGCCATCCCACCCCACGTGCTTCTCCTTGCTCATGTGAGCCTATTTTTTACCATTCCCATGATTTTTTAACCATCCATCAAGCTGTGACCAACACCTTGATGCCTTCATGACCTTCCAGGGTGTCCCATGGCAGCAGCTCAGCTTTTAGTCTACCCTAAAAAACCTCAACAAACCTTGAAGGACAACTTGAAATATTCCTGAGGATTTTCTTTGCAGGGTCAACCCCATGGAGACTTCCTTGGAAATGCCTCTAAATGTCAGGAATTCAGGCCCTACATGTCCCTGGTGCAGGGATCCCTGGTCCTCAGGGCTGATTGCTCCTCCTTGAGATGCTGTGTTTGCCATCAGCTCTTCTGGTTCTTTGCTGCTGGGGAACAAAAAATGAGATCCTGCTTAAAACTGGAGTTGCTTAAAGCCACCCCTTCCTCTTGGAGAACAAAATTGCTGGAGGATATGAAGGTCAACACCATGTTCATCACAAGCCAATGGATAAGGAGGTACCTTGGAAGGATGGAGAAGAGTGAGGGTGTCCTCACTCCATGGAAAGCCTTTAAAAGAAAAAGACAAATATGACCAGTCTTGCAATAGAAGATCTTGAGGGTCTTTCTGGAAGGAAAATACAATTTGAGAAGCACCAGAGGGCTCAGACCTTGATGCAAAAAGCAGCAAAACCCCCAAGTGACCCCCAGAGCCAGCAGGTCAGCTGAAACCACCTTATCTTTTAGGTTATTTTTTCTTCTTTTAGGTTTATTTTTGGGGACAAATGTCAATGTTTCTGAAATCATTCTTCACTTTCTTTAGTTCCTCATGTACTCAGCATCTCCTAAATGCTGCAAGAGAAATGAAGGTTTCTGTAGACCTTTGATGAAGGGTGAACCTGGGACTTGGCTCTTCCAACAAAAGCAGCTGGTGGGGATGGTGGGTTGCAGAGCAAATGGCTTCTCTTAATGGCAATAAAGCAGATTTGCTGCTTTTCTCACTAATACAAGTAGCCTGTGAGGAGCAGGATGGGGATGAAGGTGCTTGAACATCAGTTGGGGTTGTGTCTCCTATCTTCAAGATGAGCTGATGGTCACAACCCTCCTTTGCAGGGGGGGAAGCTGCTCAGCACTGTCCATCTGGGGGAAATGCTTCAAGGCATCCATCATTTTCACCTTTATATGAAGGGTTGGACCATCAGTGTTGCTGCTTTCCTGGTCGTTGCTTGGAGACAAGGGAAGGGGACAGCAAAACTGGGCCAGGAAATCAGATCCCCCAGGAATTCAATTCCACTTTTTGCCCATCACACACTGAGAAAAAAAAAAGGTGAAAATGTGGGGAGGAAAAAGAAAACATAGAATCATAGAATCATTTTTGTTGGAAAAGACTTTTAAGATCACCCAGTCCAACCCTTCCCCCAGCCCTGCCAAGGCCACCCCTGCCCCGTGTCCCTCAGCACCATCTCCAGGGCTTGGAAACCCCTCCAGGGATGGGGACTCCCCCCCTGCCCTGGGCAGCCTGGGCCAGGCCCTGACAACCCTTGCCAGGGAGAAATTGTTCCCCAGATCCAAACCTCAGTTAGCCAGGGGCTGGATGCTGGACTCAGAGGTCTTGGCTGGGTGTTCTGGGGGACATTAGTAGATGCTGGTGCATCTCAGTACGTCTCCTCCGTGCTGAGCGATGCCCAGAGAGCAGCTGGTGCATCATGAATGGTGGCTCAGGATGCTCATGTGCTGGATGGACCAGGTTGGATGGGGCTAGGAGAGTGGGGAGAGCCTGGCCCAGGTTGGCCAGAGAAGCTGTGGCTGCCCCATCCCTGGGGGTGTTGAAGGGCAGGTTGGATGGCAACCTGGTCTAGAGCAGGTGCCCCTGCCCATGGCAGGGAGGTTGGAACTAGATGATCTGTGGGGTCCCTTCCAACCCAAAGCAGCCTGTGATTCTTTCACCAGCTCTGTGGCTGTAAATCCTCACCCTAACCTGCTCTGCTCCTCTCTCTGCCAGGGTACACTGCAGGGACACCCTACAAGGTCCCACCGACCCAGAGTAACAACGCGCCTCCTCCCTACTCGCCGTCTCCGAATCCCTACCAAACTGCCATGTACCCCATCAGAAGTGCCTACCCACAGCAGAACCTGTACACCCAGGTGGGTACCTCACCAGCCTCCAGGGCAGCTCCTGTCCTCACCCAGCCCGAGGTTCCTGCAAGACTTCCTCCTTGGCAGAGGGACAGAGCCCTGGGACAGGCTGCCCAGAGAAACTGAGGAGTCTCATTCTCTGGAGACATTCAAACCTGTCTGTGTTCCTGTGGGATTTCCTAGGAAGACAGGCCGGGGGAGGTG